CTATACGCGACTAGAGTTCTTACCAAGGGACCATATATCAGATTTATAGCCATAAGGTATATCTGCGAGGAGCTCAGGACACATGTAGTTTGGAGTTCCAACAACCTATGTTGAATTATATAGGGATTGAAAACAAACTGACATAAATAAGTATATTTAGTGATATAGTTGCAAGTACCAAAAATTCTTAAGGGTGGCCAAAAATACTGAGGAATATTGGGTGGCCTTATCGGATAACCCAGTGCTTGGGGGAAAGGAGACGATTGTAAACCACTCTATGGAAAATTTCATGAAAAAAGAGGAGTTCAACGAAAGACTTGGAAATTCCAGCTTGTTTACGTCATAGGGTTATAAAAGACAGACTAGACAATTGTGTAGGTAGAGGCATAAAGACAATAAAACAATATAAATGCCAGTCCATACCGAAGAAGTAAGATCTTCTGTGTTGAGTAGTTTTGCAAGCCCAAAGTCACCTATAATGTTGATGCAAGACATACATATCTTTAAGACCAACACATGGAAACCACACTTAATACAGTGAAATATTGCCTCTCTTAGTAATCATTGAGTGTACGTACCAAGTCGGATGTCATTGTCCTTAGTAAGGAATATATTAGAGCACTGCAATCATTAGATGTACGTTAAAATAACCATCATATGTATTGTATCATACTATTATTTCTTACCGCGACTAGGGTGGTCCACTATATTACCTTGAGATCCCTATGAAGTACACGATTGGAGTGCAAGTAGTCCACAGCTAGCAACAACTGAGTCAGCCATTTGCAGAGCTTCTGCAGGGAAAAACAGAATAACAACACAGAGCAGTTGCTTGCTACCCTTTATATAGGCACATATACAGGATGTGAAGTTCTACCAAATCTAATTGATTACCTCCTCTGGAAAAAATTGTCCTCTGGCCTTCTTTATCATATCAACCCTGTTAACAGATTAGTTGTTTATCATTCAGTAATCACTAGAAGCATTGCAATTGATTTTCTAAATCTTACGTAATTTTAAAACATTTTGACATAATGTCATAAACTAGAAAAAGAAACTCTCCTAAGGTCCTTAATGAGGTCTTAATTAACATCCACTAGATTAAATATAGGTGGTTGAAGTGAATCCCGGCTGTCCAATATCTGATCCAAGGACTCAGAAACAATACTTCATGCAAGGACCCTCTTTATGGACCTTAACAGAACAAGGCTCAACACAAGATATGCTTAGTTTAACATGTTGACTATGTAACTAACATAATAGATTTTCTCCTATATTTTGTCCAATATGTGCATTTCTATCAGTTTCAAGCTTATATTTAGAAGAAACTTGAGATAGAAAACAAGTATTTAAATTCGTCCTTTAAGCAAAAGATGTTAAAATATGAATGTTTTAATTCCATAATTTGACAAAAGGAAAAATGCATTATTTCATACTAGCCAAAACATAATTAGAGCATCGTTGATGTAAATTGTTGTTACTTACATGTCACCTCCTTCACAATAGCCTGTTACAATGCATATGCAGTCTCCCTGCAGAAAAACATGTACTGTTAAGCATCGGGAGTGAAGTCAAGTTTGGTACAACTGCTAAAGACTTCTCAAAATATATATACTCTTGAGTCCTATTCAAATTTATGAAATTTAAGAATCGTGGATTCACCTTGTCCACCCAAGCATCTTTATAATCCACAATATATGGATGATTTAACTTTGCAATTAAACTCATCTGCAGCAGAATAATAAAGATTGCGATTAATTGAGTAGAAAACACATCTTTCAGAGAAAATTAATATGAAATCACTAGATACAATACCAGGAGAAGATTCATACGGTTTACAGGTGATAAACTATGAAGTACACAATGAGAAGAAACAAGTGCCATCGACTATCTAATATGGTATTTAGAATCAAGGTAATTGGTGACTACAAAACTATAAGGTTACAATCAAGGATCTATTTTAATTATGTGTCCACAAAATAATAAAGAATGCATCATTTATGAGAAACATATTCTGAATGTCTGCAAGCGCATGCTCGTGTATTATACTTTCATATGAATATTGTTTCAAGCATGCACATCCCAGTTGATTGTCATGAATAGATCTGGGTATTTTGGACGGAACGGAGTGCAGCCAAGACATGAAAATTTCATAAAGCTGACAGTGATGATATGGACAAACAAATAAGAAAGTTGGAGCTTGTATATGTTTGACTGTCAAGAAAACAGGGAAAGATAAATTTTGATGCTACGGTTAGTTCCTAAGATAAAAGATGACATGGAAAAAAGAGAAATCGGCTTTAATTGGACATATACTTGTTGAAAAATTGTAGCAACTCTAAAAATAAAAGAAGAAGATTAATAGCTGGGACTCAATGCTACATTTATCAATATCCAAACAGTTTTTGAGGAGCAACCTCTTGGTGAGCTGTGCGTTTGAACTTCTCTGATTGCTTAGCCAAACGAATTTTTTTCAACACATACCTATTAAAAGGAAAATTAAATGATTACAACAAAATTGATGAAGCACAGTGTAATCAAATTTGAGTTAGAAACCGGTTGCACAATCAGAATATAAACTATTAGAATATCGGTTATCTCTTCTTCCGAAAATTCATACCCTGAGATGTGAATTGTGGTACAAATGTAGGGTTTTCTAGCTAGCTGTCCTTAATTGCAACAGCTATTATCCAACTACTCAGTTTTCTTGTTAAATTGTCCTTAATTACAAAATTATCTTCCAAATTACAAGAATTACAATACTAATTACAAATTGTCTTGGAAAAAATGGAAAGTGGAAAACAAGGTTGGTAGAAAATACTCTTACTTCTTTTTCTGAGTCTTATGAAGAACAAGAAAAGCGGCTCCAAAAGCCCCTCTACCAATCTGCTCTATTACTTCATAATCCTCCATCTTTGACTTCGTTTCGGCATCAGTCTCCATAGCCACCAAGTTAAGACCTGCAAAACCCACAAACCCAATTTTAAATCAAATGCAGAAACTCAATTCCACATAATACAAACAGAATTTACTGCTCCTAGAGCAAAATTTAACCCCAAATCTAAAAACCCAGAAGAGGAAAATTGGAAAAGTTACCAAATTCAAGGCAATTTTGCCCAAAGTTTGAGTCTTGAGGGTACTGAGTTTCCCAAAAAAAAACTAAAGAGAGAAATATAAATGAATAAGAAACTACACATTCAACAATAACAATGGGCAAGAAAAAAAACTAAAGTAAAAGCAGCAAGAGACCGAAATGATGAAGGGGACGGCAGTGTGATGACTTACCAAAAAAAGTAGAGAGAGAGAGGAGAGAGAGTGGGTGGAGGGGCAGTCAGGAGTCAAGTAAAGCAGCAAATTAATACTTAATTGGGAGTTGATTATCTACCAAATAGAAAATGGAGGGGCTTGGGATTGGAAGGCAAAAAGCTAAAGTGGCAGTAGTCAGCAGGTGTTTGTGAAACGGAATGAAGACTCCGGAGAAAAGTCAAGCTTTCTTTGCTTGCATTTACAGATTCATTCTCTCTCCCCTCACCGGAGAATGTTTTCCAGCGCGTAGTTGCCATGTCACTGTCCTTTCAACTTATAAATCCACTTCTTTTTTGTATTAAAACACAAAAAAAAAAAAATTTTTATTTTTATTTTTTCAATCCCTCTTTTAGAATTATTGTATGAACGTTATAATTAAAATTATTTTTTTATTATATTTAAATATTTAAAAAATATCATTCAATTAATAATGCCTCGATCATTAATTTGTGTCTAACAAATCAACAATTATAATAAAAATAATAAATCATTGATTTCTTTGATATACATGGATAATAAAACAATAAAATAACAAGTTCAATGATAACATTTATACAATGAAATAATGAAATATCAGAAGTATCATCCTTTCTTTTATGAATGTACAGTTTTTGCTGGTCCACTTAATCAAGTTTTAGAAAATCACTCTCTTGCTCTTTAATTAATGTGATGGAGGTTTGATTCCACCGATTCCCTTTTCTTCTAACAACTAATTACGTAGCTACTAACATTATCGCTCTACTAAAAAAGAAATTTTAAAAACATAACAATTATAAGTTTATAACTCAGCCAGATGACCATGGGCTTGCCCAAAGTCAAGTGCTATGGTGCCTCGCAGTTAGTGATAAACGAAGAATGTTGAGGTACCGTGAAATTGATTCACCTCCGAATAATGAGCAGGTAGTTCAATCCTTTTGATTCTTCTCTTCATAGTAAACATATAGGGGGATGCGGAGCAATAGGTCGAATTTCTATATAAAGAAGAGTTGTAAACTATAGGAAGATTTCAGTGTTTTTTGTTCCTTGTGTTCGATAAGAATAAGGATTTGAAATGATACAAATTCCTCTTCATTTTGTTGTGTTCAACGAAGGAACTGCCTAAGCATACTTTTTCAGGTCCAAACTTGTTTTTTCTTTCTAACCTTTTCCTCAATTAAGTAATATTGGTACTGTGGTGGTTCTCTTTGTGGCATTTCCCTTCCTCTACAGGGGCACTTTGCTTGAAAATCAAGGCGTAGCAATAAAAAGGCTGTCCAAGAAGTTAGGGCAAGGACATCAGGAGTTTTTGAATGAGTTGGAACTCAGAGCCAAGCTTTAGCATACCAATCTTGTTAGGCTCTTTGGTTGTTGTGTCGAAGAGAAGGAACTGCTATTGATTTATGAGTACATGCCTAATCGGAGTTTGGACAGACTTTTGTTTGGTATATCCTCATCATTTCTAAGATTTGTATCTTTGATATTGTTGATTTCAGGGATGTCAACTTTGATTAGGTTTGTTCATTGAAAAAACACTAGCTCATTTTCCTTCATGGTTTGTCCAATCAGATCCATTTGAAAAATCATAATTAGATTGGGGAAAGTGTTTTCGAATTATAGAAGGTATCACTCAAGGAGTACTTTACATCCACAAGTACTCTAGACCGAATATCATTCACAGGGACCTAAAAGCAAGTAATGTTCTTTTGGATGGCTCGATGAACCCTAAAATATCAGACTTTGGAATGGCAAAGATTATAGAGATAAATCAAACCAAAGCAAATACTAATAGGGTTGTTGGCACATAGTAAGTTTATATGGCACATGCTTTCAATCATCTAAACCTTACGCAATCACTACTTTAGTACTTTTGCTTATTGTACGATTAATTGATGCAGCGGCTACATATTACCCGAGTATGCAAGATATGACAATTTCTCTAAGAAACTAGATGTATTTAGTTTCAAAGTGATGTTGATAGAGATTGTAAGTGGAAAGAAGAATGTTGCTTTTTATAGCTTTGAACATTCACCAACTCTTGCTGGATGGGTAAGTACTAAACAAACATTCCAACTTATGATCATTCTGTTTTTAAGCCTTGCAATTGCAAATGATGGTAAATTCAACATTTTAATTAGGCATGGGAGTGGTGGAAAGAAGGAAGAAGAATGAAGGTGATTGATGAATCAGTAAGGGAAACATGCCAGTCGGATGAAGCTTTAAGGTACATCCATGTAGGTTTTTGTGCATTCAAGAAGCTCCAGCTAATTGACCAACAATGTCTTCAGTGATTCATATGTTGTAGAGTAATGAAGTTACATCTCTTCCACCTTCCAAAGAACTTGCCCTTTCAACACACAGGAATTCCAGTTTTGTTCCCTCTTCTCAAACACCTACAAGTTTTTCCCACATCACAGTCACCATGAATTTGCCAGAAGGTCGATAGGGGTTGGAAGAGTAGTGACTGGCTAGAAAATGAGAAAATAGTGGATTAAATTAGAAAGAAAAAAAAAACCCGATGACTATAAGTTTTATACAAACAATTCAAGAGCTCAATTGGAGAAAGATAAAACCTCTCATGCGAGGCCGAGTCTTTTAGGCACGTATATACAAAATAGATATTTAGTATTCTTTTCACATTTTAACACATTACAGGAACTGTTTGTGTGGTTTATGGTTTATTCCCATCCAAACTAAACTTAATATCACAAGTTTTTTTTATTATTGTTCAGCTACAGATGTAGACGTAACTATATCATGAAACGACAAGTACACTAAACTAAAAGAAAAGGCAGGGAATTTTCTTACGTCTCCCAATTTTCAGAAAACAAGTACACTAGTCTAAAAACTAACTGGTGTAGAACAAAGAATTTCCCATTAGAATATTCATAGTTCACAAAGACATGGTTAGTGTGACCTAGAACAAAGGATGGTATACTATATGTCACTATATAAATAATGGGATATATGTGTTAAAAAGTTAATAACTTAAAAAATAAAATTTTCAACCACTTATATAAAGACGCATGACGTACCACCCGTGTTCAAAATTTCTCGTGGCAACTACTTATCAATATTAAATATCAAGTATATCAAGATTTGAATGTGAAGGTTAAGTTGTAGACGTATAAATATATGAATTTACCCTTACCCTTCAATAGTTGACTTTGAATGCATACAGTATAGTTTAAATTCTACTTTTTCTTCTAATTTTTTTGTGTAGCCATGGATACCAAACCAATCTCATTGTTCGAGTTCTCCATTAGTTTATTATGTGTATTTATTTCTCAACACCATCAACGAAAACAATTCTCTAACCAGTGATCAAACCATTGTTTCTTCAGGTGGGGTCTTCGAACTAGGTTTCTTCAAACCAGGTTAGTTTTCAGACTACTGTATAGGCATATGGTACTCCAAGCATGTAGTATCTGAGAGGAATAGGGATATACCGATATGACCATTTTTCTGAGAAATTAGATGTATTCAGCTTCAAATTGTTGTTATTGGAGATTATAAGTGGAAAGAAGAATGCTACTTTTTATCGCTTTCAATATTCAACAGCTCTTGCTGGATGGGTAAGTATTAAAACACTATTCTAGCTTATTCTCATTCTTTGTTTAACTCTTGCAAATTTATGAGTAAATCTATATATATTAAATTTTAATTAGTCATGGGAGTTGTGGAAAGAAGGAAAAGGATAAGAGGTGATTGATGGATCAATAGGGGAAATATGTTGGCCTGATGAGGCTCGGAGGTGTATCCATGTAGGATTTTTGTGCGTTCAAGAAGCACCAGTTGATCGACTAACAATGTATTCGGTAGTTCATATGTTGTAGGGAAATGAAGCTACACTTCCTCCACTCTCCAAAGAACCTGCGTTTTTGACACATAGGAATCTCGGTGCTGTTGATTCTTCTCTTCGAACACCTACCGATTTTTCCCATAATTCAGTCACCATGAGTTTGCCAGAAGGTCCATAGGGGTTGCATGAGCAATGACTGGAAAGCAAATAAAAAAATAATATAGTAAATTAGAGATAAACGCCTCGACAAACTATAAGTTTTATACCAACGCTTCAAGCGTTCATTTTCAGGAGAGATTCAAGCCGTATTTGGAGAGGTCAAAGCACCTTTCTAGCACATGTCAAGCTGTATTTGAAGAGGTCAAAGCACATTCTGGCACATGTAGATTATTATCCCTTCTAGCTAGGTTCACTGTTGTGGCATAATGAGTGTTTGCATTTGCTTATGCGATTTGTTTACTATCACGATGTCGAACTTACTGCAGTAATATCTTGTTCTATCAATTCTTTTGAATGTGCAAAATGTTGAGCTTAATGCAACAAATATGTGATTGTTTTTTGGTAAGTACAATATCAACACGGTGTCACAGAATTATAGGATACAATGCCTCTATAAGTTTTCCCGTCTGGCTTGCCACTAGTTGTCTTTCTTTTTAAAAAGAATTCCCTTCATACCAACAAGGTTAAGAAAAGACACAATATCACAAACTCACATGATACAATTTGATTAGTATGAGGGACAAATCTCACGATGTGAATGGTTACCCAACCGACTGTGTTTTGCCGGTGGACTCGCTACTCACGTCCTACAAAAGTTATACATCATCAGGGAAAACCCTACTTGATTAGATGGTGAAAGCTTTACAAATTAATTTACAACCTTGTCTTCGATTGTTGGCCAAGGTACACGTGTCCTAATTTCCCGGTTTGACAAGTCAACCTCGGACCCCAAAAAATAGTGTGTGTCCATCTAACCTTAGACCTTGGACCTTCACTCACATACCCGGCCATTAGAAACTGTCACACCCCAAGTGTTCGAATTCTTCTAAATCTAGAAATAATATATTCGCCATTGTAATTTTCTAAACTTTTCTTTCTCAGAAAGAATCAGAAACAATTTGAGTTTCAGAATGTGGGGACATTCTTTCTTTGAGACAACCTCGAGGCTTTTCCATTAACGTTCCTCTCTATCTAAGATCCTTGTTGTTGTCACTGTGAGGTACTTGTTCAATTATGAAGTCCGTTCTTTACTTTAAAAAACAATCGATTGTCAATATTGGTACATTTTTCAAAATAATGATATGTATTCATTCTTTAATAAAGAACAGACGTCATGCACATGAAATTTCTTCCTTTAACACGCATGTTTATACGAGCTTGCATAGGTTTTGTTTAGTTTTCTTTTGCAAGGATTTATGTATTTATTTATTTATATCTTTTTTGCCGATTATATATAGTACACATAACATCTTTGGCATTTTATGCTTAATGAAACTCTGCATATCATGATTTCTTCTGACTTGCATTGCATATATTTTGTGTTGAGCAATATGCTCATTTCTTGAAGGTAACTTAAACTTATTCTTCCTCCCATGTCCAAAAAGTATTTTACAGGATGAAGAAATAGTAAGTATTAATGTTGGGTTTGAGCTTTTGATTTGCAGGGAATAGAAGATGTTGTAAGGATCCAACAGACTGTGATTGACTGTTTCGAAAAGGCAAGTCTTCCTAGTGTAAGTGAAGAAGAGAAGAAACTTCTGAGTTTTGTATGTGTTGGCGGCGGTCCAGCTGGTGTGAAGTTTGCTGCAGAGCTTCATGACTTTGTAAAAGAGGATTTAGCCAAATTATACCCTTCAGTTACAGGATACATAAAAATTACTGTGATCGAGGCAAGCGATCATATTTTAAACAGGTAAGGCATGCATACAAGTTTCTGTATTAGGGTTTTACATGTTTAAATATGCTAATTTAATTTTTACACACTTGGTTAATTTGGTGTTGCAGATTTGACAAGAGAATTACTTTATTTGCTGAAGGGAAGTTCTTCCAAGACGGAATTGATGTAAAAACAGGTTCACTGGTCGTAAAATTAACTGATAAGGAAGTGTCCGCTAAAGATAGAGACACCGGAAAAGTTTCAAATATACCTTATGGGATGGTTCTCTGGGCAACTGGTATCGGGCCACGCCCCTGAAGTGGTTTCTTACAATACGGTGTTGAACAATTTGTGGAAGCTTGGGAAATTCGATGTGTGCTTGTTTTACTACAAGGAAATGGGTGAAAATGGTGTGGAGGCAGATTTGCTTACTTATACTGCAGTGATTGAGAGCCTGGGAAATTCAGGAAATGTTGAGGAGGCATTGAGATTCTTTGATGAGATGAAGGCGAGGCAGATTCGTCCTTCCCTGTATGTTTATCAGTCGCTGATCACGAACCTGAAGAAGATGGGGAAGGTGGACTTGGCATTGAGTTTAACAGAGGAGATGAATTCGTGTGATTCGGAGCTTGCTGGTCCAATGGATTTCAAACGTAATAAACGATTGTAAGTAGTTAGAAGCTGGAGATACCTTTTGGTTTTCAATTTGTAGGTTATTGTTATTTCCACTGATGTAGTTGTATAGTGATTTAAATGTGCTATTCATTTTGTTTGCTCAGTTTTGAAATGATTTGTATCAAACATGATTCGAATTCAACAGTTTTCTTCGAGCAAAGTTGTTCTTATTTGCAGACTGTTGATACTCAGGTTACTAGTCCTATGGACTTCAAATAATATACACTTATAAGTAGTTAGAAGCCGCAGTTATCCTTTGGTTTTCAGTGTCAAGGTCTCTTGCTGTTGCCAATTGGTATATAGTTGTATTCCAATTGGAATGATTTTGTATCAAGATTCAGATTTCGACACTTTTGTTCGAGTGAAATCATTGATATTAGCAGACACATGTTGCTAGGAAGCAAGAAAATAGCTTCATCTATTATTATTGCATAGCAGAGAAACCAGAGACTTACAAACCCAATTAACCAATACAAAATGCATACTTACTCCATAACAAGAGTTATGGCTAACTGAAAATCAAGTGAACTTTAGAACAAAAATTAACAAATTCAGTCGAGGTGAAGTTCCTCGACAATTCCACTTATTCTTCCTCAGCATCTTCTTCTGCAAAACTCAATTCCTGGCAAGCCTCTCCAATGGTGCTAAAGTAGGATTTCTTCCCATCCAATTCCACTTATTCTTCCTCAGCATCTTCTTCTGCAAAACTCAATTCCTGGCAAACCTCTTCATTGGTGCTAAAGTATGATTTCATCCCAACCAATTCTGCAACCCTTTTCGCTGGCCCTGAACCCCTTGGAGTATCAATCCCACATCGGACAGTCTTAATTTTTGGAAGCAGATCTCCTATCTCAGCAATAACTGAAGGTGACTTGTTATGCTTTGCTGCACCTTGGTACACCACTGTCTCACTTGGAATCTCCAACCTCTTCTTCACCCAGCGCTCCGGTCCTTGACTCCTGGATGTCTCACGGGCAATGCCATGGGGCTTTCCAACCAAGATGACCCGCCTCTTGTCAGCTCTCTTACTGTCATCCTTATCATCCTCAGGCCAAGACTGCTTCCGACCATCACTCACTGCTGAATTCCCAATCTGATTGTACCTACTAGGCACAACCGTTGGGAAGAAATTTAGACGTTGGGGACAACCTGAGGCTCTGTGTAATCGTAGCCGTTGGATGCTAACAGGCTCCTATAGACGCTCTGATTTGAGTTGAAGTTTTTTGTTTTAATACGTAAAGCTTTCGTTCGAATTATTGGAACTTCCAGAGGCTTTCATGAGTTCGCAGGTAATCTTTGATCACCCTCTCTAATAGAGAATTGATTCTGGCAGTTATACCAACTTGCAACTCTACGTATCATGCTCTTGATCTCATTCTTTGTGTGCAGATGGAAATGGCAACCATTCTCAGTGGGACTAGATACTATGTAATGGCTGTAACTCCTACAAGACTCTATTCTTTTACTGGTATTGGATCACTGGAAGTAAGTTACCTTCCTTGCCTAGCGAAATTGTCATTTCCAGCGACAATATATTTGTTGCCGTTACAATTCTCATAACCCGAATATTCTGCGTTTGTAGACTGTTTTTGCTAGTTACTCGGAACAAACAGTGCATTTCATGGTGGTGAAATTCCTAACAGGCAAGTGCTTATGTTGACACTACTTAAATTATTTTCAAAATGGGATAAAAATATTTCCTATTTTTTCCCCCTTTTTTTTCTGAAATCATTGTTCCTTTTATTAAATAAACGGATACATTTGACTTTGTGAAACTTGTTAATAGCATTCCTTGATGTATTTAATATTTAATGATTGTTAACATGTAACCTTCTCCTAATTTATCGCTTTTGCAGTTCTCCTGATGGAGATGAAAATTTTGTGGAGAACAAGGCTCTTTTGAACTATTGAACTTTGAGTGAGGGTTCTGAAGCGGTGAAACCCAGTTCTATGGCAGTTTCAGAATTTCATTTCTTCTTATCGGGAATAGGGTTAAGGTATTCACATATTAATTATCTGAATAATTTTTTTCTTCTCAGTGCTGTTATCTCTATGTCCCTGTTGAGTATCATGTTATAACCTGCCTGTTCAAGAGCTTTCCCGTACTCCACACTCTCAAAATCGACATATCCCATGGCAGCGACAGCAATGACGTAAGTTTTCGCCGAATTAATTCTACTGTATATCAGTAAGTTTTTAAGGACAAATGAGTTTTAGGGAAAAGCCCCATTTTTCCATTGATTGAAATCACTACTCTGACAGTAGTGTGTACGTTAAAGAGTCTTGAATACATAACTAATAACGATTAACGATAGTTTTTATAATTTTGTTGCAAACATGGAACAACAGTTTGTTGGATCATACTGATTGCACTGAAGAACAATATTGGGAGAGTCAAGCTCAGGTTTTGAGTCCCTTCCTCTGTTATCTAAAGGTGGTGAGCATCGTCGCAGCCAATTATCCCATGAATCTTATGATCCCTGAGAGTGATTAGCGTTGTAAGGTTACTTCAACACGGAGGAGGCTTGCAAGAAATGATTCTTTGTGACGACAATGAGTTTCCGCAGACAAATCCAGATCCTTGGAAGGACAAAATTGGTTTGATAGAGGGATTCCCACGGGCATCTGCTCATGTCAAAATCTCAACTGTTTGCTTGACGAATGACTGTTTTCCGAATTTGCTTCGATCAATTTAGACGATGATGGTATCAGACATTAGTCGGATTAAAATTTCCTGTTCGATATGTAATAAAAACTAAAATGTATAAACATCTTCCATGTATGTGAATTGAATATAACGTTGATGGATTGGGGATGTCAACAGTATATGTTATCAACATGAGGATTTTTAGTGCTGCAAATCAAACATTCTTCTGGTCTTTTTCACCCGGGTTCGAGGCTCGCCCACCCCCTTTCTTTCTCAGAATTTGTCCTAATTATTGACAAGAAAATAAAATGTACGTTCGAGTACCCATGCTGATTGAGTTAAACTATATGTTATCGAAACGAATTTAACCCAAAAAATGATGTACATAGACATTTTAGGATACTTATATTACCTACATATAAAATTGTTCATAGCTTCGAAGGCGAAAATAGCAAATACAAGGCTTTCCAATGCAAGAACGTTCGTAGTAATGAAAAGTAAAGAAATCTGGTGAACGATTGGCTTGATGTAAATTTTTTGTACAATAAAAAAATGAAAAAATTACGGACGTGGCATATTGTGTAGCATTGATTTAACGGAGGGTCGAGATTAAAAGCATTGTACAATCCGGTAGGCTAGTGGGTGAGGAGAAAAACTTTTGTTAAGCTTGGCTTGCCACTAGACAATGCTGAATGACACTACTATCCACTCAAAACTTGTCACGTGGTAAGGTTTAAATATAATTTTTACCATATATTATATTTAAAGCTTTCATAATAACCACTCCTAATTAATATTCTAATTCATCTAATCTTCTATAATTTTCCTTTCTTTATCTGTCTCCTTTCCTTCTCAAATTGTCCCACTCCTTTTCTTGCATTTCTTATAAATATAAGCAGGAATAAGGAGAAAAAAAAAAAAAAAAGAAGAATTCACTTTAGAACCTAAAAAACCATCAACCGTGTTTTGATTGAGATAACCAACCACCCTATAAAATCATTGCCCAAATGCATTTGAATGAACCAATAAAATCATGGAAGCATTTTATCTCTTCTTATGGGGTTTGAATTTCTGTACAGCAAATTACAAGAAAATTTTCGTTTGAAAATGATAGATTCAATTTGTATCATCTTTGTTGGATATTAGAGATCCGTGTGTTAATTAATCAAGTCAAGTTCATATGATAAAATCAGCTTCCGAATTGAAAAAAAAGGACAAAATCGGTTGCTTTCTAGTTTCCATGATATGAAAAGTTATAGAAGGTGAGTTCCTATTTTATTTATTTTTTTCAAATTTTTCAAAGAAAAGCAAGGGGAAGAGAAGAAACAATCCACGACTGGGAAGAAAATCTGAAATGAAAAAGGAGAGGATGAATTGAGTAAAAAAGTGGGAGGTGTAGTTATTTAATAGAAAATTCTATTATGAAAAATTAGATATAAAATTATAACAAACATTGTAGATAAAACTTCTAAGTAGCATGTTTTGAGTGGATAGTAGTGCCATTCAACATCGTTCAGTGGCAAATCAAGCCCCACACAAGTTTTTCTCATTGGGGAGGGAATCGGAAAGGGGCTCATAAACCAGGTGGGCAGAGCAGGAGATATTCTATATACAGCACGACAGCGTTTAAAGTTATTCTAGTATGTTCGATTTAGAGATTCTACAGTTCAGAGCCCTAGTTTGGTACTAAGAGATTCTAAGAAAAATAGCTATTAAAAAAAATTAGGTAAAGTTTGGTAAACATTTAGTTCCAATTTTTTTTCCCAATTTTGAGGGAAAAAAAAATAAAACACACAAAGCTACAAAACTTAATTTGGAAAAACCAACTTTTTTTTCACATCTGCTTTTTTTTTCTTTTTAAAAACATTTTTACAAAAAATTTTATCAAATTTCACAACTAATTATTCTGACGTGAGGAAGCAGAAGAATCAGTTTTTCAAAGCACAGCAATATTAAACCAGACTCCTGCCAACTTCCAGCTTCTTCTTCCAGTGGGCCGTTAGGGGGCTGTTTGGATGCCTGGATAAGGATTTCGGACTAAGTTATCCCGGAATTGGATTCGAAGATGGATTCAGGGGGGCAGGTGTTCACGGTGGATCTTCTGGAACGATATGCGGCCAAGGGGCGCGGAAATATTACCTGTATGGCTGCTGGAAACGACGTAATTTTGCTCGGAACCAGTAAAGGTTGGATCATTCGACACGATTTCGGCGTCGGCGATTCGTTTGGTACGTTACTCTTATCCAATCCTTTCGTTTGGCACTTTCAATTCTCTGCCAATTCACAAATTTTTCATTTGATGAGACTTTAGAATTCAATCTTTTGTAATTTACGTGAAATTTTAGACCTTCGTCTCAAATTAGTGACTTTTATTTTTATTTGCAGAGAAAGTCTTGAATTCCTGTCAAATTTCGGATTTTGATCCGAGCTTATATGCATAGTGATAGTGTTTAGCCTAATTAGCTACAGAGGATATGATTAGTGGCAATTTACTTGATTGATTGAGCTGATTAGAACAGTATTTTGTTTAGTTGCTAAGGAACCCGTTGTCGAATTCGGTTGACTAGATTGGTTTTGCTTTCTATTTTGTGTATGGTATGATCAAACAATGCTTGATGGTTGTTGTTTATTTGAGCTATAGATATTGATCTTTCGGTGGGTCGTCCTGGGGAGCAATCCATCCATAGAGTTTTTGTTGATCCTGGAGGGAGCCACTGCATAGCCACCGTTGTTGGGAGTGGGGGTGCTGATACGTTCTATACTCATGCAAAATGGACCAAGCCCCGTCTTTTAACCAAGCTAAAAGGTCTTGTCGTGAATGCCGTTGCCTGGAACAGACAACAGATTACAGAAGGTGATTTGTCAGTCCACTGAGTATTTTCCCCCGTTGCATTTGGATGGAGGGTTTGTGCATATTGACTCATTTGAGCTATAGTGTGTGATTTTGTTCGTAAAAATCTCAGCTTCAACAAAGGAAGTCATTCTCGGTACCGACAACGGCCAACTTTATGAAATGGCAGTCGACGAGAAGGATAAGAAGGAGAAATACGTAAAGTTTTTGTTCGAATTATTGGAACTTCCAGAGGCTTTCATGAGTTTGCAGGTAATCTTTGATCACCCTCTCTAATAGAGAATTGATTCTGACAGTTATACCAACTTGCAACTCTATGTATCATGCTCTTGATCTCATTCTTTGTGTGCAGATGGAAATGGCAACCATTCTCAGTGGGACTAGATACTATGTAATGGCTGTAACTCCTACAAGACTCTATTCTTTTACTGGTATTGGATCACTGGAAGTAAGTTTTCTTCCATGCCTAGTGAAATTGTCATTTCCAGGGACAATATATTTGTTGCCGTTACAATTCTCATAACCTGAATATTCTGCATTTCTAGACTGTTTTTGCTAGTTACTCGGAACAAACAGTGCATTTCATGGAACTTCCTGGTGAAATTCCTAACAGGCAAGTGCTTATGTTGACACTACTAAAATTATTTTCAAAATGGGATAAAAATATTTCCTACTTTTCCCCCTTTTTTTTTTCTGAAATTATTGTTCCTTTTATTAAATAAACGGTTACCTTTGATTTGCAAAATTGTTGATGTACTGTTTCCTGTCATTCTTGTTGAGCTTTCTGGTTTCACTTTGTCATCTTTCAGTGAACTGCATTTTTATATCAAGCAAAGACGAGCAATACATTTTGCATGGCTTTCTGGTGCTGGTATATATCATGGTGGTTTAAATTTTGGAGCACAACATAGGTACAAGATAACATTCTTCTGTTCTTCCTTCTTTTCTGATGGCATTGTCTGTCTAGAGTCTGATCATTCTGTCTTCTACTGAGTAGTTCTATGGTTGACTTTGTGAAACTTGTTAATAGCATTCCTTGATGTATTTAATATTTTATGATTGTTAACATGTAACCTTCTCCTAATTTATCTCTTTTGCAGTTCTCCTGATGGAGATGAAAATTTTGTGGAGAACAAGGCTCTTTTGAACTATTCAACTTTGAGTGAGGGTTCTGAATTGGTGAAACCCAGTTCTATGGCAGTTTCAGAATTTCATTTATTGCTTCTTATTGGGAATAGGGTTAAGGTATTCACATATTAATTATCTGAATAATTTTTTTCTTCTCAGTGTTGTTATCTCGATGTCCCTGTTGAGTATCATGTTATGAACTGCTGCTGGTGCTAAGCATTAGGTTAAATGCATTAGATATGTGATTCTTTTATTATTCACAGAATACTGCTGAAAACTGCACCTGCCCCCTTTTTAGCTTCGTTTATGAGTGTAATTGTTTTGTAGGTTGTAAATAGAATAAGTGAACAAACTTTTGAGGAACTTCAGTTTGAGCAAACACCTGAAGCAGTTTCAAGGGGTGTCACTGGATTGTGTAGTGATGCCACTGCTGGGTTGTTCTATGCATAAGATCAAAACTCTGTATTTCAGGTTTGTGTCTTCGATTGCCTAAATATTTTCTGAATTTAGTTCATTTTGCATCAGACAGTAAAGTTTTCCATACTGCTGAATTTGAGAACAAAATGTAGGTGTCTGTTAATGATGAAGGGCGAGACATGTGGAAAGTTTACCTGGACATGAAGGAGTACGCTGCTGCTTTGGCAAATTGCCGCAACCCACTTCAGAGGGACCAAGTATATTTGGTGCAGGTCGTATCTAAGTGATGGTTATACTCATTGTTACTTATTGTAATTTATTCTCACTATGGCACTTAATTAAAAAATTTGTGAAGAAGATTATTGCGTTGCTGTGTTGTATATTTGACTTCTCAATCTTGTATTTACCTGGGTAGTCAGTAACGAAGTAATTTGATTTGCAGGCTGAAGCTGCATTTGCCACCAAGGATTATCTTAGAGCAGCATCATTCTTTGCAAAGGTGAATTCTCTATTTCCTTGATCTGTTTTCCCATATATTTATTGCAATAATGCGTATAGGTGCAGCAGGCCATTTGTTGTTTATTAATGATAATATGATTCTTTTCTAGTCTTATTGCTTCGATTTTTTGGTTTTGGTTATATTTATGCTAGATTTGAATGTGTTCTTCTAATTGTGCAGTCACATTGATGACATTTAGGAATATGCTTCACTTATTGAGATATTGTGTGGTAGCTATTAAGCTATAAAGTACACATTGTCTTTGTCATGATGTTTCTC